TCATCATTTATTTTTTCTTACCCCAGTCTTAGAATCAGTTGTTTCTCCAAAGATTCCAGGCTCTTTTGGTAACAGATGGTATTCAGAAACTAAGATCTGGATAACAGGTATGCTCATTGCTCTCTGGGTATCATTGCTTCTGAATCTTCCCAGTGGACAGAGGAAGGAAATACACATACACCAGTGTATAGACACACAAATATGAGTTCATGCTGATACCTCCAATTTTAATACAACACCACAGGGTTCTCCCTATCCTACCCTCATTCCATATTTATAATCTCCCTTCTCCATTAGTGAGAAACCTGCCTCCCAATATCCTCAGTACATTTACTCATATGTTCTATGAGTACAGAACCCAGGAAGTAATTTCAGAATTTCTAACCCATACCATTTTTAAAACTCACAAAGTGGAGTTCAATATAAGTTTGCAGGTTTCTTTGGCTTTAGACTGAAGGTTGATATTAAAGTACCTTGTTTAAAAGTTATTTGCCTTCATTCTTTTTATTTTTCCTCAGTGTGATTTGTCATTAACTTATAATCCATTTAGATACATTAGTTTATGTTTTGTTTTTTCCCCATCCTTGAAGATTTAAATGTTTTTGCATACATAGAAAACGTTAATATGGTTCCCAAAGTCAAAATTACATAAAAGCATTAGCCAGAGAGTGTCCCTCTTTCCTGCTCGCCTCCATCCCAGCACACTGACTTCAGCAGGGAACCAATCTCTTTTAGTCAGCTTTACCTTTGCTGTGTTTCTGTGGTAGCAACAAGACGATTGTATATATTTGCTAATTTCTTCCTTATTTCTTATACAAAAGGTAGCATACTGTCACAGGCTGGCTCTGGGATGCAGACACTGAGACGGTGATTAGTGAGCAGGAGATTTACTAGAAAGTGTCCTAAGATTAACCCCCAGGAAGGAAAGGGACAGAGCAGGATTGGACAGAGGGAGAAGCTGAGCTGCCGTGTGGCCTGAGCAGAGCCTCAGCTAACCTCGTGGAGAATTTTGAAACTGGGATGGCCCTTCAGAGTTGTCCTGTATTAGGTGAAAAGCCAGGGGTCTTTATACCACGCATCTATCAGTCATTAAACGTGGGCCAACTTAGGAAAAAATGTAACCTTAGGCAAGCCAGTTCTTTTCAGTAGAGGGAGACCCCACAGTGGTTTGACATCTGAGGGCTTTCTGCCTGCAGCACTAAGTCCTCAGTTCCCAAAGGGATCTCCGGGCTGCATCACAGCATCTACCATACACACTACATATTTCCTTTGTTTTTTCGTATACATTATATCTTGGAAATCACTCCATATCTGCTTTTAAAGATGGTCCTTGTTTTTTCTTAACAGCTGTATAATATTCTAATGTGTGGCTGTACTATTCAATGAATATTTAATCACTGAATGTTTATTCAATGAATTTCCTATGTGTGGGTGTCTGTGTTGCTCCAGATGTTTTGCGATTACAATTTTTTTTTTGAGACAGTTTCATTCTTGTTATCCAGGCTGGAGTGCAGTGGTGCAATCTCAGCCCACTACAACCTCTGCCTCCTGGGTTCAAACTATTCTCCAGCCTCCAGCCTCCAGGCATGCACCACCCATGCCCAGCTAATTTTTTGTATTTAGTAGAGACGGGGTTTCACTGTGTTGGTCATGTTGGTCTCGAACTCCTGGCCTCAGGTGATCCACCCACCTTGGCCTCCCAAAGTGTTGGGATTACAGGCATGAGCCACTACGCCTGGCCTGCAATTACAATTAATGCCGAAATAAATAACCTTATATATATGTATTAACATACTGATGGAGGCATATCTTCAAGGTAAATGCCTGTGGCCTTACTCTGTATACCCTTTACCCATCTTCCCTTACCTTATATCATCATGGTACATTTATCAAAACTAAGAAATTAATATTGGTGCACCACTCCGAACTGACGAATTTTATTTAGGTTTTGCCAGTTCTTCCACTAATGTCACCTTTCTGTTGCAGCATCCACCCAGGATGTCATGTGGCATTTAATCATGTTTTCTCAGTCTTCAGTTGTTGACTGGTTGTTGGGCTTTTCTTGTCTTTCATGCATGACACTTTCGAAGTGTAGAATTCCCTTCCTATTGTGTAAATGTAGTATAGGCTCATGGATATTTGTTTTATTCTTTAGTTTATACGTAATACTATCGTTACTGTGTCCAGAGCTGGTTCCTGCCAGTGGGTTCGTGGTCTCACTGACTTCAAGAATGAAGCCGCGGATCTTTGCAGTCAGTGTCATAGCTCTTAAAGATGGCACGGACCCAAAGAGCGAGCAGGGGCAAAGTTTATTGTGAAGGGCGAAAGGACAAAGCTTCCACAGCGTGGAACGGGACCCCAGTGCGCTGCTGCTGCTGCTTGCTGGGGTGGCCAGTTTTTATTCCCTTATTTGTCCCCACTCATGTTCCATTTTTGTCCTATCAGAGTGCCCTTTTTTCAATCCTCCCTGCGATTTGCTACTTTTAGGATCCTGCTGATTGGGGCATTTTACAGAGCACCAATTGGTGCATTTCACAAAGCGCTGATTGGTGCGTTTTACAGAGCACTGATTGGTGCATTTTACAGAGTGCTGATTGGTATGTTTTACAATCCTAGCTATGGAGTGCTGATTGGTGCGTTTTACAATCCTCTTGTGAGACAGAAAAGTTCTCCAAGTCCCCACTCCACCCAGGAAGTCCAGCTGGCTTCACCTCTCATTACTTATTTTACTGCTCGAATTGGTCTAGCTTCAGTCATTGGCTGGTTCAGACTGGCTGTGTCCTGTATTAGCTTTCCATTGCTGCTATAACAAATTGCCACAAATTTAATAACAACAGGAATGTATTATCTCACAGTTCTGGAGGTCAGAGCTCTAAAGTGAATCTCAATGGACCAGAGTCAGGTGTCAGCAAGGCTGGCTCCTTCTGGAGGCTCTGAGAGGAGAATCTGTTTCCTTGCTTCTCTCAGGTTTTGTGGCTGCCTATGTACTTTGACTTGTGGCCTGTTCTTCCATCTTCAAAGCACATCACTCAGATCCCGGTTTCCACCCTCACATTCCTTTCTCCTCTCTCTGATCCTCCTGCATCCCTCTTATAAGGACCACTGTTGACCCCCTTGGGGCCCCCAGATCATCCAGGATCATCTCCCATCTAAAGATTCTTAACCATATTTGCAAGGTCCCTTTGCCATGTAAGTAACATATTCACAGGTTTTGGAGATTAGGATCTGGACATATTTGGGGGCCATCATTCAGCCCACCACATGTCCTTCTAACACGCCTCCATCCTTTCTTTTCCTTCTGGTGCTACAAGATGTTCCAGCCTTACTTTGTTTATTCCTGGCCCCAGACCTAGAATTTCTCAGGCATTTCTCTGGAAATACTGGGGTGTCACTGCCTCTAGGGCTTCTCAGAAGACAGAGCAAAAAAACTATAGCTAAACACAGATTAGTGTATTATACATGTGTATACGTGGACACACACACATTCATACTGATACCTCCCACTCTACTCCACAGGGCTCATTCTAACCTTCCGCCCTTGCTTATTTGTAACTTTTTTCTCTGAGAGTGAGACCCCGACTTTCAGTATCTACAATGTATTTATCTATTTATTATACTCCTAGTTTCAGGATTACTGAGAAACAAATTTACTAACTAGAATACTATGCTAATATACAATTATGTCTTTAGTTTTACAGTATACAGTCAAAAGGACTGTCTTCCAAAGTTGCCTAGGTCAGCTCCTTCTCCCCACAACCCTTTCAGTGAGGCTGTATCATGCATTTGTAACACTGTTAGATTAGTTTGTTATAGTCTGCCTTTCTCCACAGGACTTCCTAACAGCCAGCCTTCCTTCCTTCCTTCCTTCCTTCCTTCCTTCCTTCCTTCCTTCCTTCCTTCCTTTTTCTCTTTCTCTCTTTCTTTCTCTCTTTCTTTCCTTTTTGAGACGGAGCCTCCCTCTGTCACCAGGCTGGAGTGCAATGGCGCTATCTCAGCTTACTGCAACCTCTGCCTCCTGGGTTCAAGCGTTTCTCCTGCCTCAGCTTCCCGAGTAGCTGGGATTACTGGCGCCTGCCACCATGCCCACCTAATTTTTGTATTTTTAGTAGAGACGGGGTTTCACCATGCTGGCCAGGCTAGTCTTGAACTCCCGACCTCAGGAGGTCAACCTGCTTCCGCCTCCCAAAATGCTGGCTTTACAGGCGTGAGCCACCCGCCCGGCCAGCCTGGTTCATTCTTCAAATTTGCACACACTAAAGTCCACTCTTTGTGGTGTACAGATCCATGTGTAGTTGTGTGTTTCTGGGCTTTTTATTCTGTTCCAGTGGTCAATCTGCCTCTTCATATGACAGTATCACACACTTTCCTATTAGAGGATCTAGAATGTGTTTTAATACCTGGCAAGCTATTCTCACTCCACAGCTTTTTATTCCAGGGTTCTCCTAGTTGTTCTTATGTTTAATTTTTTCATATGGACTTTGGCATCAACTTTTCAAGCTCCATTTAAAAAACAAAGCTTGTAGAATTTTTATAGGATTGCATTAAATTGACGGTGTTGCTAAGATTCAAACATAGGCAGTTTGCTCCAACACCTACATGAAGTTTTGGGCAAAAAAGAAAAAGTAACATTTTTGTGGTGTTATTCAGTTTTTATTAATAGAAGTCAGTTTTGTTGTTATAACTAGGCTACTTTGTATTAACCCTGGAATTGAAACTTAATATGAAAATAATTTGCATGCAAGTTTACTAATAAGGAATCAGGCCCAAATGCACTAAAAGACAGACCTGAAAATTGTGTTTAGACAACTCTGAAAATTCTTATCCCTATAATAGAAGATAATTCATCTGTGAAATGAAATCATAATCTAGAAACCATCTGATGGCACGTACAACTTGTTTTTAGTGGAAAACTCAGTCAACTAATTCTGAAATGTTTGCATACTTAAATTATACCCCGAGTAATAAATAACAACATATTAAATAACTTTGCTTTGTGTCTGTGTGTTTTATCAATTTATTTTTTTCTCATCCAACTTCTTTCCAAAAGCACTTAAGATTATAATAAGTCTCTAGTTACACTTTCCTTCTTCTGCAAATTTGTCAGAGTGAAAATTTATTGTGTTCTTTGAAAGAATTACCTTTTGGCAACTTGCACAAAGTCTTCACAAGCTTTAGCCAATTCCTCAGCCATCATCTCCAACGAGGCAAACACTTCATTCTCCACTTCTTTCCTCTCCATTGAGATGAGGAGATGGCAAAGCTGAACGATCATTGGTGAGATGATTCTCTCAATGCCTTTGTTCCGTATCACAGAGCTGACGTCATCCAAGAGGAAAGACTCCATCTTTCTTAGTCTGTGAACAGAAGCTGCAACATAGTTTAACTCACACTGACTGACATGTAAACCTACTTCTCTTTGACTTGATGTTCATCTACTTTTACTTCTATGATGAGAAAGAAATCTACAAAATATCAAAGGGATAAGTTGGGGGAGATATTTTCAGGATCTCACAAGTATGGGCTAGGTTGTGGCTTAGCAGAAACATTAAAAAATGGGACAAAGGCACAATGAGATAGATTCAGAGGTTCAAACAATGGCGAATGGACTCACAAACTATATGAAATAGAGGCAGTTTAAGAAATGGTTAATTTACAAAGAAACATTGGGCTTCAATTGGACTTTACCTCTACCAAAAAACTGTAGCACATTCTTCTCATCAGCACATGGAATATTCTCCCACACAAACCTATATCAGGCCACAAAACAAATTTTTCTTTTTTCTTTCTTTTTCTTTTTTTGGGACGAAGTCTTGCTCTTGCCCCCTAGGCTGGAGTGTAGTGGTACGATCTCAGCTCACTGCAAACTCTGCCTCCTGGGTTCAAGCAATTCTCCTGCCTCAGCCTCCCTAGTAGCTGGGATTACAGTCTCCTGCCACCACGCCTGGCTGAATTTTGTATTTTTAGTAGAGACGGAATGCCTCCATGTTGGCCAGGCTGGTCTTGAACTCTGACCACAGGTGATCCACCCACCTTGGACTCCCAAAGTGCTGGGATTACAGGTGTGAGCAACACGGCCAAAACAAATTTTTAAAAATTAAAATCATATGAAGTTCTTCTCAGACCACAGTGGAATAAAAACTAGAGATAAATACCAAGAGGAACTTTGGAAACTATACAAATATGTGGATATTAAACAACATGCTTCTGAATGATAATTCCATTAGTTAAGAAACTAAGATGGAAATGTAAAAAAAAAAAATTAATTTTTATTTTTTTGAGACGGAGTTTTGCTTTTGTTGCCCAGGCTGGAATGCAATGGTGCAATCTTGGCTCACCACAACTCTGCCTCCCAGGTTCAAGTGATTCTGCTGCCTCAGCCTCCCAAGTAGCTGGGATTACAGGCATGCGCCATCACACCCGGCTAATTCTGTATTTTTAGTAGAGACAGGATTTCTTCATATTGGTTAGGCTGGTCTCGAACTCCAGACCTCAGGTGATCCACCTGCCTTGGCCTCCCAAAGTGCTAGGATTACAGATGTGAGCCACCGTGCCTGGCCAGAAATTTAAAATTTTTTTGAAACAAATAAAAATGAAAACAAAACATACTGAAACCTGTGGGATACAGCAAAAGCAGTGCTGAGTAAAGTTTATAGTATTAAATGCCTACATCAAAAAAAAAAAAAGAAAGATTACAAGTTAACAACCTAACGTCACTCATCAAGGCACTATAAAAGCAAGAACAAACCAAATGTAAAGTTAGCAGAAAAAAAGAAATAACAAAAATCAGAGCAGAGCTAAATGAAATACAAACAAAAACATACAAAGGATCAATGAAATGAAAAGTTCATTTTTCAAAAAGATAAACAGATGATAAACCACTACCTAGACTAACCAAGAAGAGAGAGAATCTGAATAAACAAAATCAGAAAAGATAAAGGAGACATTACAACTGATACCACAGAAATACAAGAGATCATCAGAGACTATTATGAACAACTATATGCGTACAAACTAGAAAACTTAGAGGAAATGAATAAATTCCTAGAAACATGCAACCTCCCAATATTGAATCAGGAAGAAATAGCAAACCTAAATAGATGAATAATGAATAGCTAGATTAAATCAGTAATAAAAGATCTCCCAAGAAAGAAAAGCCCAGGACCAGATGGATTCGTAGCTGAATTTTATCAAATGTACAAAGAAGAACTAATACAAGTCCTCCTGAAACTGTTCCAAAAAAAAAATTGAGGAGAAATGAGTTCTCTCTAATGCATACTATGAGACCAGTAATACCTTATACCAAAATCGGACAGACTATGACACATTAGGAAAGAAAACTCCACACCAATATCCCTGATCAACATAGACGCAAAAATTTTCAAAAGATACTAGCAAACCAAATCCAACAGCATATCAAAAAAGTAATAACCCATGGTCAAGTGGGATTCATCCCAGGGGTGCAAAGGATACTTCAACATATGCAAATCAATAAATAAATGTGATGCATCTTATCAACAGAATTAGATGATAAACCATATGATCAGCTCAATAAATGCAGAAAAAGCATTTGATAAAATTCAGCATCTCTTCATGATAAAATCCCTCAATAAACTAGGTATAGAAGGAACATACTCCGAATTAATAAAGGCCATATATGACAAACCCACTGCCAATATCATACTGAATGGGGAAAAACTGAAAGCATTCTAAGTACTGAAACAAAACAAGGTTGCCTACTTTCACCACTCCTATTCAACATACTAATTAGTACTGAAAGTCCTAGCCAGAGCAATCAGGCAAGAGAAAGAAATAAAAGGCGTCCAAATTGTAAAAGAAGGCAAAATATTCCTGTTCACTGACAATATGATTGTATATCTAGAAAAACCTAAAGACTCCGCCAAAAAACTCTTAGACTTGATAAATGAATTCAGTAACACTTAAGAATACAAAATCAATGTATAAAAATCAGTAGTGTTTCTGTACGCCAATAAGGATCTCGCTGAGGACTAAATCAAGAGGGCAATCCCATATATAATAGCTGCAAAAATAAAATAAAATAAAATACCAAGTAACCAAGGAGGTGAAAGATCTAAACAAGGAAAACTACATAACTCTGATGAAAGAAATTGTAGATGACACAAACAAATAGAAAGATAACCCGTGGTCATGGATCAGAATTAATATAATTAAAATGACCATACTGCCCAATGCAATCTACATATTCAATGGGATATCTATCAAAATACCAATGTCATTTTTCAGAGAATTAGAAAAAACATGCTAAAATTAGCATGTAACCAAAAAAGAGCTGGAATAGCCAAAGCAATTATAAAACAACAACAACAAAGCTAAAGGTGTCATATTACCAGACTTCAAATTATACTACAAGGCTGTAGTAACCAAAACAGCATGACACTGGTACAAAAATAGACACATAGATCAGTGGAATAGAAAAGAGAATCCAGAAATGAAGCCACATATTACAGCCAACTGATCTTTGACAAAATCCACAAGAACATACAGTGGAGAAAGGACACCCTTTTCTATAAATGATGCTGGGATAATTGGATAGGCACCTGCAGAAGAATGAAACTGGACCACTATCTTTTACCATATAAAAAAATCAGCTCAAGATGAATTAAAGATTTAAATGTAAGACCTGAAACTACAAAAGCACTAGAAGAAAATCTGGGGAAAACTCTTCTGGACATTGATCTAGGCAAAAAATTGATGACAAAGACTTCAAAAGCACAGACAACACAAATAGACAAATGTGACTTAATTAAACTAAAAGGCTTCTGCACAGCAAAAGAAATAATCATCAGAGTGAACAGACAACCTGCAGAATGGGAGAAAATGTTTGCAAACTATGCATGACAGGGGACTAATGTCCAGAATTCACAAGGAACTCAAACAACTCAACAACAACAACAAAATAGAAAACAAATAATCCCATTAAACAATGTGCAAAGGACATGAGTAGACACTTTTGAAAGAAGACATACAAATGGCCAAGAGGCATATGAAAAAATACTTACTATCACAAATCACCAGAGAAATGCTAATTAAAACCACAATGAGATATCATTTTACATCAGTCAGAATGACTATTATTAAAAACACAAAAATAACCGATGTTGGCAAGGGTATAGAGAAAAGGTCATATACTTTTGGTGAGAATGTAAATTAGTACAACCTCTATGGAAATCAGTATGGAGATTTCTCAGATAACTGAAAATAGAACTACCATTCAATCTAGCAATACCACTACTGGGCATCTACCCAAAGGAAAATAAATCATTATATCAAAAAGATAACTGCACTCACATGTTTATTACAGCATTATTCACAATAGCAAAGATATGGAATCAGCCAGGTGCTGTGGCTTACACCTGTAATCCCAGTACTTTGAGAGTCCGAGGCAGGTGGATCACTTGAGGCCAGGAGTTGAGACCAGCCTGGCCAACACGGTGAAAACCCATCTCTGCTAAACATACAAAAAAAAAAAAAAAAAAAAAATCAGCCAGGTATGGTGGTGCATGCCTGTAATCCCAGCTACTCTGATGGCTGAGGCACAAGAATCGCTTGAACCCAGAAGTGGGAGGTTGCTGTGAGCCAAGATCGCACCACTGCACCCCAGCCTGGGCGACAGAACAAGACTCTGTCAAAAAAAATAATAATAAGATAGGGAATTAACCTATGTATCCATCAACAGATGATTGGTAAAGAAAATGTGGTACATATACACAACAGAATACTATTCAGTCATAAAAAGAGAATGAAATCATGTCTTTGGCAGCAACATGAATGAAACTGGAAGCCATTATCTTAAGTGAAAAAAGTCAGACATAGACAGACTCTGCATGTTCTCACTTACAGGTGGGAGCTAAATAATGTGTACACATGGACATAGAGTGTGGAGTGATAGACAATGCTGACTTGGAAGAGTGAGGGGGTGGGAGGGGATTAGATGGTGAGAAATTACTTAATAGGTAAAAATGTACGTTGTTCAGTTGAGGTATACCCAACAAAGCCCTGATAAGGATTTTAAAGCAGCTATCATGAACATACTTCAACAAGTAATTGAACACACTTAAATTTTAAAAATTACAATTCAAGAAAAAAAGACATAGAAGGAAAAATTTTGAAATTTTAGAACTGAAAATATAATTAAAATAAATTCATTGAATGGGCTCAATAGCAGAACGGAGATGACAGCAGAAAGTCAATTAATTTGAAGACAGATTATTACAAGTTTCCCAAACTGAATGACAAGAGAAAATGGCTGAAAAAGAAATGAACAGAGATCCAGGAACTTGTGGGACAGTAAGAAAATAACTAACCTTTTCAAGGGCTGAAATAAAAGA